GTTTACTTGAGTGGTCTAGTTCGTCTACTTCATCATCCAGTCTTGATACTCTGTTTTCCATTTCGTTCATCCTATTGGTGAGGCTTTCTCCTGTTGTTTCTAATTGGCTTACTGAGTGTTTCACTTCCTTCTTCATTTCAGCCTGAGTATTCTTCAATATTTCTAACTCTTTTCTGAATTCATTCAGAAGTTTATCCCTATCTTCCTTCAGTTCTTTGATTTCCTTGTTTGTGTGTTCTTTAAATTAACTGAATTCTTTTATCATGTTTATAATTATTCTTTTGAGTTCCATGTCCTGCATTATTTCTAAGGGGGTTCTCATTGCACTCCTCTAGAGGACTATTGGTATTTGGTGGGGATATGTTATTTTGGTTTTTCATGTTATTATTTTTTCTCTGTGATTTTGACATGTTAATTTCTTTTGTAGTTTTTGATTCTTGTGTGAGACTCAAGCCTTCAAGTCTAGGTTTGCTTCTTTTTGTGAATTTTATGTCTTTGTTGTTTACTTTTGGGGCATGAAAAGCTGGTTCTTCTAAGCTTCCTGTTCTCTCTTTTGATTTTGTATTGGAGTGGCCAGATTGCTTTTGTCTTCAGGAGTTCCCACAGAGGCCCAAGTCAGATGAGGATCAGATGCTCTCAGACTTTCTCCTGAGGTCTGGATCCCTCCCGGAAAGATTTTGGCCTCAGGAATTTGGGGGTTGGACTGGCTTGGAAGCCAGGCCCAGGAAAGATGCTGGTCTAGGACAGCTGGTGGCCATGCCACCCAGAGATGCAAAGGAAGATGTGGGCGGGAAGTGGCCCCAAGGGCTCCTGGGGACTGCACTGAGGAGCTGGGTTGGTCTGGATGCAAAGGATCAGAAAGAGGAAAGGTCAGCCCTGGCATCCAGGAAAGAGGCTGGTGGGTTGTGCAGACCGATAGAAGTAGAGGGAAGTGAGGGCAGGGGCCAGGCCCAGAGTGCTCCTGGAGCCTTGATGAGGAACTGAGTTGGTCTGGATGCAAGGGATCAGGAAGCAGTGGTGGTTCCCCAAGTGTCTGGGGGCACCAAGACAAGGAATGGGACAGGACCCAGGCTAGGAGGAGAGACCAGTGGGGGAGATGGGAGGGTGAATGGGGCAGGGGGGGCATGATCTACTTACCCTGGAGAGAGGCCTGTGGGTCGTGCAGGCCCAGGGAACTTTATAATCTTTTTAACAAAATGTCATTAGAAGATTTAAATTTGTATGAGAAGTAATGAAAAATGAAAAATATCAAGATCAAAATGTTAAAAATGAAAATGTTTTTACTATTGTCAAATTTAAATATAATATAAATTTAACAAGTTTTAAGTACTGTTGTGAACTCAATGCTTTTTATGGTCCTTTAAAAATTTTTTTCTAATTTTTAATTTTACGTGTATGAGTATATTATTTGCATGTACATAAGTGCACTCGTGTCATGCAATGCCCATGGAGGTTGGCAAAGGGCACCGGATCCCCTGTAATTGGAGTTAGGATGGTTGTTAGCCACCATGTGGGTGCTGGAAACTGAACCTGGGTCCTCTACAAGAGCAGTCAGTGCTCTCAAACAGTGACCATCTCTCCATCCCCATCAGTGTTATATTACATGGTAAAGGAATAGAAAAAGAAAACATAATATCTACTTACTGTATGTGTATGTATGCACACACATATTCTTAACAAAACGGAATATAAACACGTGCAATGAAGATTCTTGTTTCTGTAACCAGTCATGTGATCACAGCTGGAGTTTATGACTACTGTTTCTACTACCCATCCTGTATTTGCTCCACCCTCAGCAAGCACCTCAGCAGGTCTTGGTCCTTTACCATCCATCTCTGAAGGATCTGGGCCATTTATCATCCTGCCTGGATGGGGTTGCTATCCTTTCCCATTGACCTTACTCACAGGGCATGGTAATACCACATGTTCTCCAGATCTAAAAGTTCTCTAGATCCCACACTCTTCCTTACCTCCACTGTGGAGAAGCAGTCCAACACTGCCCCTCCCTCAGTAGTCTGCATCAATCAACCTTGCTAACACTGTAACCTCTTTTTTAGTTTATTGACTCAAGGGCATGTGGATTCCAACGTTGTTAGGAGGAAGTCTTGACTTCCAGTTCAATGGGATGTTTTTTGTGCCTTCTAGTAGAAGCATTACCTCCCTCTGGAACCCAGACTTCTAGGCCAGCAGAGCATCAAGCCATGGTATCAGGAAGCAAATTTTGCTAGTGGGTCTCTAGGGCTGGGGTACATGGTACCATTACCATTTCCACCCCATGATTCCTGGACCCCTCAGAAATCATGCCTATGGAAGAAATAGCACTGTCTTGGTTTCTTTCTTATTGTTGTGATAAAATACTCTCACAAAAGCAATGTAAGGGGAAAATGGTTTATTTCTGCTCATAAGTCAAGGTTATCATCCATTATTGTGGAGGAAGTCATGGCAGCAGGAGCTTGAAGCAGCTAGTTAGATGATAACCACAGTAGAGTGCAATGGATGAATGCAGGCATGCCAGTGCTCAGCTCGAATTCTCCATCTTCTACAGCCCAGGATCCACTGCTCGGGGAATGGCACTACAGGTAAGATGGGTCTTTTCACACCAGTTAATGTAATCAAGATATTCCTTTACGGGAATGCCCAAAGCCTCATATAACCTAGACAATCCTTCCAAGCGGTGCTCAAAGCTTCCTCTCCCAGGTAATTCTAGAGTCTGTCAGGTTGAAAATTAATACTAGCCATCTCAAGTACCATACACTGGATGGCTATTCAGAGCTTATACAACCTGGAGAACTCTAACTCAGCCCTCCAGACCACTGTCACCCAGTTGGTACTGTAACTATGTCTTTTAAAGGCTAATCCACCATTCTATCAAGTCAGCTGCTTCAGGATTCTGGGGAACTTGGTAAGACCAGCAAATGCATGGGCATGAGCCCACTGCCACACTTCTTCAGCTGTGCAATGAGCTTCTTATTCAAAAGCAATTTTGAAGGCCATCATGGCTGTGGATAAGGCATTCTGGAAGCCCATGGATGATGTTTGGGAAAAAGTGTCACGTTTAGAAAAGGTAAATCCATAACTAGAATAAGCATCTAGCACAGAAGGACAGAGTGATGTTCTTTCCATGATGGAAGTGGTCCAGTCTAGTCAATATGCCCTTGGGTTGTTGGCTGGTCACCCAGAGAATGGTACCTCCCATCGAGAGTGGATTTCCCTCTCCAACCCTGTTTCTCCTCTCTGGAAAAAGATGTGTCTCCTACATGATTCTAGACCTCATCAAGTTGACAGTGAAGATTTAGCATCACAATATCTAAGACATGAAGCATAGCCCTTTTCCTATCTATGGTCTTCATATTTCTCCTGATTTTTGTTCATTCCACTCTTCAAAAATAATCAAATGATCATGTGTTATCAAGGGCCTCACTGTATCTTGGTTAGCACATCAATAAGTTTTAACTCTAGGCATATTTCACAAACCAATAAGCTATTTGTGAGAGTGCAGTAGTGTGGTGGTCTGAATGAAAATGTCCCCCACAGGCTCCAAGTATTTGGACATTTTGTCCCCAGATGATGGTGCTGTTTGGGGAGGTTTTAGAAGGTGTGGCCATGCTGGAGGAAGCACGTCACTGGGGGTGGGCTTAGAGAGTTCATAATACTTGCCAGATCTCCAGTTTCTCTCTTGCTTCCTGTGCCTGTGTGCTGATGTGAGAGCTTAGCTTCTGCTGCTCCTGCTCCAGCCACCTCCAGCGACCATGCCTCCCTACCATGACGGACTGTAATTCCCCTGGAACTGTAAGCTCAAATAAACTCTTCCTTCTCTGAATTGCTTGGGTCAGTGTTTCTACCACAACAACAGAAAAGTGACTAACACAGATAATATATACAAAGCAGAAGAGAAGGAAGCTATTTGTCAGGACAGTAATTAAAATTGATAGAAGGCAGGTCATAGTGTCACCACACTACATTTTCCCTACAACAAAATCTCTTCCTAAGTTTAAGGAGGATTAGATTTAGCTGCCTGTCATGGTCACACAGCAATGACACAGTCCACATTTTACAAGGACAGAAATTCCCATTTTATCCTTTCACCTCTACAGGTTTGTGGTCATTCACCGCAGTTATTCCTTAGGATCCCACACAGAACCTTTTCTCGTCTCAGGACTAAGCAGGTGTCCTTACACAAGTGATTAAAAGGAATCCAAGCTCTTTATTTTTCTGGCTGTCATATTTCTATTGACTTCTTGGTATACCCACAGAAAGACTTTATTTGGAAGTAAGTCTGCAGTTATTTTGAAAATCCATTTTGCTTTCTAAGAAAAAAATATTAAAAGCCAAATAATTTCTTTAAAATTTTTATTTGAGAAATAAAGCTAAATTTTAGCTAATCCAGAGAAGTGATTCTAATTTCTCAATCCCAAAGTTGTTAGGAAGCAATTTATGAAAGAAGTCTCCAGAAGTCACTGTTGGCCTTTGAAGGCATCTATCTTCAAAACTAAGAAATAGAATCGAGTACAAAGGTTTGAAAAAGTGTTTAAATTTTGTGCAATCGTTTATCTGTGGTCTGTAGGTTTTTCTTCATTTTATGAAACATTATTGCCATGTAGTGGTACCCTGAGCACACAGAACTACGGAATAAATACTAATCAAACTGAAGTGAACTAATAAACACATCACTCTGGACAACCAAACCAACTTGTGCTTTTCAGCTTTTTGGTGATAAGATGAGACAGAAGATCGTATTCTACCTGGTTGGGTCCTTGAAAGAAATAGTACTTCCCTAAAAATGAAAACAAATGAAATTGTTTAATTCTTCCCTTGTATTTCTTAAAAGATAGAGCTGTTTTATAGACTATATTACACAAGATGTGATTTGAAATGTAGATATTGGAGAGTCTTGGCTGTGTATCCTGTTCTACCCACAAACCAATCACTCTCTGGGTGGAAGACTCAGGGGAGGATTTAGGGTAGGGCTCACAGGGACCTTGAAGGAAGAAAAGAGACTTGGGGAGGTAAAATTTAAAAAGAATATCTTGGTCCAGTGGATTATTTTGTTTAGGCTGAACTGGAGACGTTCACAATACAAACTCAAGTTTCTTCCATTCCAGTTCTCGTCCCAAAGTATGGGGGCCCAAGAATGTAGGAGGGACTGAAGATAATAAAAATTTAAGTAAATAAAGAATGTGAAACATAAGAAGCTATAAGACTCCAGGCTTCCCTGAGTGCCCGCTGATGAGGTCACAGAAGATTCCAGATGCTCCTACAATGCGTGCCAGACCACCCAACAGTGCACCACTGGCAGTTCCACCCGCTGTTCATTCTTCTGTTGCATCTATTCTGAGCTAAGCACAGTGTTTTCCCTGTGGCCTTATAAGAATTGCAAAGCCCCATGTCTTTCCAACTTGGAGCCACTGTGTGATCTTGGGGGAGGCATTATTATGTTTTAAAATGTGATTTCCAATGTCTTCCCAATCTACTTACTTTTGAAATACAAGACCGCATCAATTTTAGACCAATTCCCAATTCCTGAGAAGTATGTAGAGATCATCTGAGGGTAACTGGGGTCCATGTACTGCCTTCTCACATCAAACCTGTGAAAGGAAATGGACAACAGGAACTCAATAAGAAAGTGGTTTCGTTATATGATAAAAAAAAACAAATGAGATTTAAACAGTTGGCTGATTTACTCTAAGTCTCCATAGGACTCAAAACTTGGGTGTTGGGACTCCAGCTAAGCTTTTTACCATCCCTGACAATGCTTCCCTGATATTCAGACTCCTTTTAAACAGCCTGGCATGGAAGGGGCTTTAAAACACATCCAGTCCACAGTAGCTCAACGACTTACTTGTCTGTCATTATTTTTTTCACATCTTTCTACCAAGACAAAATCCATGTTATCCTCTCATAATATGAAGAAGAGAAGGGTTTAAGAACCATTGAACCAAAGAGTCTTAAACAGAAAGAAATTAAAAGTAAATTGTATCATATCTACTATGTATATAGTCAGGTCCCAATATTTTCCTAAATTCTCTTTACCACCAACTGAAAATACTTGTTTCTCTCTAGACTTCCAAGTGGCAACTGAGTGTACTTGTTATCTTAGTTTTCATTCAATTTAGTTCTCCAAATATTGCTTGCTCAGCGTTATCCAACTGGCCTTGAAAAAGGAAATTCCTGGGTCAGTTGGAAGCATAAAGGTAAAGGGAGACAGTGGTCAGAGTTTAAGATGTTAATAACAGCTGGGTGTGGGGTCACACTCTTAGTCCCAGCACTCAGGAGCAGAGGCAAGCAGCTCTATGTAAGATCGAGGCCAGCCTGGTCTACATAGTAAGTTCCAGGTCAGCTATGTTTACAGGGAGACCATGTCTCAAAAAAACAAAAAACAGTTAATAACTGCAGGTTATGATAAACTACACCTGTTGATGATCTCACCAGAAAGTTTTATTTGGTAAAATCACAAGTCCTATTTCTCAACAAGGCTAACATTGGCAAACTTATGTTACAAACATGTGGTATCCAAGTGAAAATTAGACGTTGAATTTTAAATGTTCAAGATGAAAACAGAAGCTATAATATCTTTATAAATTCTGTTATGCCTCGTGTCAACCATGTAAACAATCTGAGACATGGCTGTTTTCCTTAGAAGAGGACAGAGATGCTCTTCCCTACTTCAAATTAGATGAAGACAAAACCAGACAGCCACTGAGATGAGCTCCTGGCCTTGCCTGGTCCTCAGATTTTCTGTTAGGAAAAAGCCTACAGGATCTCTGTCACTCGCAGGATGTTCCTCATATGCCTTCTGGGTCCAGCGACTACAGAAAGGAGCCTAGGAATCTAGACACCATCCAAAATGCAACCATATCAGAAACCAAAAACCCAGAGAGAAGAACCAGATTAACAATAACTCCCACTGTCCCATGATCTTCAAGTGTGTCCCCAGAAATAGCAGAGAGATTTGAAAGCTTACATAGAAAAGCTACCTTCTGAAAATTCCATTCTATAAAACACCAGCCATTGAATCTCACCTCCAATACTGGTTGCCCACAAAGAAGTAAACCTTCTGGAGAAGTGGGTTGAAGACAGCTGCATCAATTTTCTTCACAGACCTTGGGAAGCCCAGGGTATATATGCTCCTAGGATAGTATGACTGTGGCACCAAATTTCTTATTAACCAGTATTTGTCACCTACGGAAACAAAAACAAGAGGTATGATAAAACTGCATAGAAAGAATAAAAATGTTGACTGGCTGTAAACACCACCATTCTTTCTCAAACATCTAAAATTAATTTTCTTTTGTTTCCTTTATGCTGGGAGTCAAATCCAAGGCTCGATGCATGCTTAGCAAGTGCTCTGTTGCTGAGAACCCCACCCCCACCCCCACATACACCCTGCTTTTGTTCTCAAGGACTGCCTTGCCTCCTTGGGCTCCGTGGTTTGGGGTTATTTTTCATAAGTGCTATTATACACTTTGTATACTCTTCCCAAAAGCTGTACATGTTTCTTGTCTAGTTAGGCTAATTTAACTTACAGTTCAGAGCCACTATTGAAAGTCTAGAGTTGGTTTTCTGTCTATATCTATGAAGAAGTCATAATGTTGCCCTTTCTTGTTCTTTATCCTCAGTGTCACAACCAAGTATTGATGTTACCTTTAAAAAGAAAAAGTTCATTTTTGTGTTCAATTTCATAAGCAGCTTCAATACCCGATGGTATGGTTGGAAATACGGAGGAAATTAGAGTGACGGTGGTTCTGGAACTCTCAAGCGGTTTCAACCAGAGGAACCTGAATATGAAAGGCATTGAATACGTGAAAAAATGTGGAGACTCAGGTCCCTCAAGATGCAAAGGGAAAAATGTGTGAACTGATTAAGCATTTCTCTCCATTATTTTCACACTGCATTCCTTGGATATCTGTGTAGAAGCCTGTGAGAAAGAGCCTTAATCGACCCTGGTAGCAACAATGACTTAAACAGGAACCCTGATGTACAGAATTCCCTGGAGCCTGGAATCCAAGGATCTAAGGTTCTAGCCTGGCCTGGCCTCATAGTTTGTTCACCAGTTTTATAAGTGGAAGGAGATTAGTTCATCTCAGATGTCTGTTTTATAATCTAAAACACGGGAGCATCTGTCCTGGCTACCACATACTAGTCCCACTGCCCTCCCCACCAGCACCAATATCTGACTTGTTTGCGTTCCAAGATAGAAACCAGAGGTCCTCCTGCAATTCTGCCCTATATACTCGAGAAAATCAGCACATAAGTTCTTTCAAAGCCTTAATTCCAGACCTCACTACTGTGTGTGTGTGTGTGTGTGTGTTTGTATATGTGTTTGTGTATGTGTGTGTATGTATATATGCTCATATGATGGGGGTTGCTGATGCCAGGTGTCTTCCTCAATTACTCTCCACTTTATATCTTGAGACTTAGTCTCTCACAGAACCTGGAGCTTTCTGACTCAGCCTGGTAGGGCAACAGGCCCCAGGAATCCTCCTGTCTAAACATTCCCTACATCAGGATTAACGGCACATGCAGCCATTCCTGGCTTTTTTATGGTGCTGGGGATTAAACTCAGGTCCTCAGGCTTGAACAGCAAGCACTTTATAAATGGAACCATCTCCTCAGCCCCAGAGACACTGGCATTCCAACCTATGAGTAGATAGTTGGGCCTCTCTGCTTTCTGTCCTCTAATTCTTCAATCGAGAGTTCTGCTGCGAATTGATTATCCACACACCGGCTTTCTAGCCAGTCAAACAGAATCACACTGAGTTCATGCTTCAGAAATCTTCAGGCTCTCCTATTGCTTGTGAATCAAGTCTAAGTCCCTGCCCTCTAAGTCTGATCTACTTAATTTCAAATATATTCTGACAAAAAAAATTAAAAACAATCTAAGGACACAGTCTGTAACATTAGTTAGATATGAAAATAATCTTACTGGTCTTTAAAGAAAAAGATTTTGTTTCCCACTGTTGTGACGGCATCGAAACTCAAGTCGGGGTCACATACAGCTGGTGATGGACCATCAGGTTTTGGCACAGGTCTGTTTGTCTCTGGGACTCCTGAAAATACATTTTGAGAAACATTTAGGGAAACTTTGCATTTTAGTTCATAAAAGTAAGAGCTATTCTTTTTAAAAATATTCTGTTTCATAAGGGAAAACAAAAGACTAGCGAGATGTGGGCTATAAGGTTTTTTGCCCATACAGTTGCGGTACCATGGAGGAAAGTGAATAACAGCTAACTTTCCCTTCTCTGGGTGTTTGCATCTGTAACACAGTGATAGAAAGCACTCCAGGCTTGAGGCGAAGCAAAGACAGAGTCTGTGCAGCCTACCTCACAGGGTACTTAGAAGGTGCAAAATAAAATAATAAAGTGTTTTTCCCCAACTACAAATATTATTTAATTATTCACAAGAAGGTGTGATTTATTTGGAAAATGATAAAGTTTGACTTACCATAGAGGGACTGAATGTTACGTATGTCATCAGCAGAGAGACGAAATGTGTTGGGGTTCAGATAACCATACTTGGGGTACATTATGGCTCTTCGGTCATTAGAATGCTCCAGTCCCAAGGAATGGCCAAGCTCATGAACAGCAACAAGAAACAGGTTTGTGTCTAAAAGACAAGCAAGTGAAAGAGTAAAGCTGTGAAATACGTTGACATGTTTCTACTTAAGTTTACACATGAGATTGTGCCAGTTACTGGTACTATGTGATGTCTTCATGCCTGTATGCATTGTTCAATGCTCAAATCAGGGTAATTATATCTATCTATTCAAATAGTAATCATTTCTTCATGGTGAAAATGCTCAAAGTCTTTCTTCCAGCCTCTTGAAGTAAATAGTATGCTGTTGTTGTCTATGGTCACACTTTTGTGATATAAAACAAATCACAGAACTTCCTGGCCCCAACAGTATCTTAGTGCAAACTGACCACCCGTTCCCCAACCTCTGCCTCCCTCTGCTCCTTCAGCCACTGCTAACTACCATTCTGCTCTTGACATTAATGAGATTAACTTTTTCAGATTTGAAATCTGAGTGAGCTCATGAGGTGCTTGTCTTTCTACACTTAAGCTTTCTTCACTTTGCATAACCCAGTTCCATCCATGCGACAGGATTTCTTCCTTTTCGTGGCTGCGCATGTGCATGTGATGTTTAACATGCTTTAATCCACTCATTAGTTGGTGGATATTTGAGTTTCCATTTCTTACCTTGTCATTTTGAAGTTAGTAATACAATTCTAACACAGTGAAAGGGGAGCATTTATGAATCCTTTGCTTACTTTCCCACTCTTTGAAATAGCATGTCTCAGGGCTGGAGAGATGGCTCAGTGGTAAAGAGCACTAGTTGTTCTTGCAGAGGACCTGAGCTTGATTCCCAGCACCCACATGGCAACTAACAACTGTCTGTAACTCCAGTTCCAGGGGATCTGATGCCCTCTTCTGGCCTCTGCAGGTATTGTGCAACATGGGTGCATTTACACACATGCAGGCAAAACACTCAAACACATAAAATAAAAAAATAAATTCAAATAGCATGTCTCAGCCTCGATATTGTTGATGATATAGGCTAGATAAGTATCGTCAGAGCAATCCTGTCTATTATAGCTATTTAGAAATCTATGATTGTGCTACTGCATGCAGATAGCAATCTCCACTCCAATTCTGGCAGCTAAAGCATATCTCTAGACATTGTAAAAATGTCCCCTTGGAGCCAAACTTGTCTACAGTTAAGGACCACTGCCCTGACAGACAAATAGAATATATTCTGATTTGAAAATTCCTAGCATAAGTCATAGGTGTTTTTGATGGCTCTCACTGCTTCAAAATCATCCCCAAAGCTGGGGATACTGGCTTGTGCCTATTGTTCTAACACTTGAAAGTCAGAGGGGGATTGCTCAAGCCCAGAAGTTCAACATCACCCTGGGTTGGGTAACATAGTTAGACTCCATCTAAAAAAAAAATAAATAAATAGAGCGGAGGGATGTAGCTCAGCGACAGAGTACAGCTTGGTTAGTGTGAGCAAGGGAAGGCCCTGGGTTCAGTTGCCAATACCATAGGATGAATTAATAAACAACATCATTTCCAAGTCCTGGGACTCTGTTCTAATTTTACTCCTCATCAGGCTTCAAGAGACTTGAGAAGGTTTTAGGAAGCATCTTTTACCAAATCCAGATACAAGGTTATTCTTAGGTGCCACACATCGCAAATCACTGGGTGATGGAACCAGCTATGTATGCTTCTTATACAGCTGTGCGGAAATGACGGCTCTTCTCTCACAAATGAGGAAACAGGATCACCAAGATTACTCGACCAAATTTAGTGCTTGAGCCAATCAATATTCAAATCTAAATTGCTTGGCTCTAGGAAGTTGTGTTTTGCACTATACAGATTTAGAATTAAAGTGGTATCTTTAATTTTATTTAGAACCATGTGTAGTATGATTTACACTAATAAGCTGAAGTTATGCTTGTCTGGAAATGAAACCTCTGTGAGTTAAAGAGGGGAAGGAGATGTACTTCTCTCAAATTTCTCAGTTCTCAGAAGACTGACTAATTCCTGGCAGTTTGTGTTTCAGTTCAATGTATTTGTTTCTGTATTTTTCCTCCTGTAGTGCTGGAGAAATGAATTGTATGGCTCTTACAGCCTAGCTGCAGAATTTTGTCCTGAAATGCTCTCCAGTAACCCAGTGTGAACAGTCTATACCTCTGTCTTGGTAATGTCTAGGTGTACAGACTTTCTAAGCAATCTCTTAACTAGTGGGTCCAGCAACTAACTCAGACCTGCTTCTATTCTCTCTCAGATAGAAAAAAAGGAAGCAAGGCTTGGTTATCATACAAGCCTAGAAAGAAGAGATTAAGATTTTATAATTTGTCCTAAACCTGAATTTATTTTACTTTCAATTGTTGTAACACTTTGTACAAATAACTACCATTACCCCTCATCTTCAAACAGCAGGCTTCTGTTTGTCCACTGGTGCCCACTAGACTATATGTTCAAGGGTGGGGGTGTGTCCTTTTCATCTCTGACCAAAAGCACCACTTAATACCATAGTAGAAACCCAGTGAGCATTGAACTAACTTTTCATTTAGTTTACTGACTAATGCTGGACGTGGCTATACACACCTGTAATCTCAGCACTCAGGATGATAAGGCAGGAAGATGATGAATTCAAGACCAGTCTGGGTAGCATAATGAGACCCTGCCTCAAGTAATGATAAAAAGAAGCCAGATACTCTATTACATGCCTTTTATACCAATACTTGGGAGGCAGAGGCAGGTGGATCTCTGTGAGTTTGAGCCCAGCCTGTCTACATAGCAACACAGTGAGACTCTATCTCAAAGAGAGAGAGAGAGAGAGAGAGGAGGAGGAGGAGGAAGAGGAGGAGGGGGAGGAGGAAGAGGAGGAAGAGTTAGGCTTCAAATGAATATTTTAAGCTAGTTTTCAAAGTTAACTTTAGAAAGGATAACTTTTGAGAGGATAGAGTCAAATAAACTAAAAAATTAAGGATCAGAACTTTTAAAAAAAAAGCTAAGAATGCATGTTCCAGCCCTAGCTTTTGCACAAACTAGACACTAACCTCTTGGTCTGTCTCTGGAGAGAGCAACTATATTGAATTATTCTTCTGAGGTTCATTATAATTCCAAAACCTATGAGGCTAACCAGCACAAGTCTTCCATTTCAAATGAAGAGCTTACAACCCCCCAAATAACCTTGGAGAAAATCTTAGACAGACATAATATGTGTGGCTGAGGATTTTTAGTTCAGTAAGTACTAAATTATACATAATTTACCTTGACAATCTTTGAATTTTTCACATCAAAAATTTGTGATATATCAGATTAAAATTGCCTTTCTGGTAGACATAGTGTCTACAAGAATACTGCCATTCAACACATGCAAGGTCATCCAGAGAAGGGGAATCCTGGGCAGACCACATTCTCGACCTCCTCCCTGTGTGTTTTCTCCCTATGAATCATATATTTGAGAATTTCCGAGACAGATTAGGAAGGCTTCTGAGACAATGATTTGAACTCTCTGATGCTAGGGATTGCCTCAAATTATTGTGTTTAGCTAACCCGATTCCCCACTCTCTGAGCAGGTTGGTGAGTTAGTGTCTCAACTGACTGATTAAACATTCTGCAAATTGTATCCCAAGATATAATACCACGTGACCACATATGATCATGCACTTCTCCATAGGGATCCATTAATTTTCTATAACTTTATTTTTCTAGGTTACTATGGAGCTAAGAAATTGCCAACATATAACGAATCATACAAGTGACCACATTACTGTACATGTTTGCACAGAGAATTAGTGTTGGTTTTTGCTTTTGAGTTTGTGGATTTAAACCTAATTAGCAGCTTTTACCTTTCCATGAATTTATACTAAAGAACTTGCTCAAAGGCTCACACGGACTCTTATCTTTAGCATAATGCAATTCAATACTCTTGATTCGTAGTAGGTAATGTTAAGACTCAGTGTATAAAATCTTAAGTTTGATTTAGAGGCAAACATAATCAGAACTTGTTCTTAGGGCTATAATTTTTGTCAGAATATAATCTTTCAAGTCCAGGATTTACTTTAACTTGTCAGGTTGTTTTCATTTGTTGTTGGTTTTTTTCTCTCTTACCTTGAGTACTTTTACTCCAAGTTTCAGCCTCATCAAAATGTGCATCTCCTTGAATACCAGGTCCAGGGAAAAATGCATGGGCTATGGTTCCACCTTTGCCGTCAAAAGGATAAAAGTCTCCATGATCTTCATAAAAAGAAAGAAAATCATTAGTCCTTATGTATAAGTTCTAGGAAATGAAAAACCACACGGACGGAGTTCTGTACCTGCATAGGCAAAACCTATCATAATGTCAGCCTCGCCTTCATAAATCCTTCTGAATTTCAGAGGAGTAACATCACTCCATACTTGGAAAGCTTTCTGAAATGCATAGTCAACATCTGCATGCTTCATGTCAGGAGTGTAATTATAGATTCTGTGTTAGAAAAGGAGAAAGGGAAACATGGGCAACTGTTTATTTTGTCGTGTCACAATCCTTTGTTTACAGCTACCACTGGAGGATGAACTACTTTATAAATTGAGAGTTCAAGTAAGAAAATTTTGGTTAACTTCAAAACCATTTTTCCTTGGAAAACTTTCCATTTAATTTAAATGTAATTAATTTCTCTTAATTTATGACTTCCAGGTCATCATTGGGAAGGATTTGTTTTCATAGAAGCGATCATCTGTTGCTCCCACGTACCATATTTATCTAACTTTAATACTTTGAAGGCTTGACAGGTGTGGTGGTGCATGCTTTTGATCCAAGCACTTGGGAGGCAGGAGCAGGTGGGTCTCTGTGAGATTGAGACCAGCCTGGACTACACAGTGGCAGCCACCATGCCTGTCTGGCTTTTACTTGGGTTCTGGGGATCTGAATTCTGATCCTTGTGCTTACATGACAAGTACTTTATCCACTGAGTCCCAGCCCCAGCCCTGAGACAATACATTTTAACACAGAGTTAGTGTCAACAGTTCAAAGAGGCTGCTTTCAGATTTAGGGCCGTGTTATAGCTAAGTGGTTCAGGTTTCTAAAAGGGAAAGTAGGAGGGTTCGTATACTGACACTACCTGTAGGTGAGGTAGTGTTTCGTCCATTTCAACCTCTGTGATGAGATTTTCCAATGCTGAACATCGGGCACTCCACATCGAGGTGCATGCATCATCTTCAGAGTAGGGGTGTCCAGTAGCCCAGTCACCTCTAGCCCAAAGAACTGCTGCATTTCCTGGATTTTTTCTGTTAGGTGATTTATGTTGGTTTTTATTTTTGTCTTTGGCATTCTATCATTCTCAAGGCCATAAAATTTTTCCAAGTACACCTGGAGAAAATATAAGCAGTTATCCACAGCCACGTGCAGAAAAATTTCTCTTGGGGGCTCTGAAAAGATTAATCAACAGCATACTGATGCTTTTGAACAGGTATTTAACAATAGGTTCTATTGTTATTATTTAGACAAGACATAACAATGAGAAAAATAATCTTGACTTTCCATACTACCAAGAACATGTCATAATCTATTAGCCAGAGGTACTCCAGAAAGTCCAGTGGAAAATCTTTGTGGTTCTACTTCCTCGGACAGGTTTCTAGTTTTAGAAGCTATTTTAGCATCTAGTGGTACTAGGGAAGTAGCGAAAATCCTTATTGTTAGGGTGCTTAAACATTTAGATTCACATAAAACCCTTGCTTAGTTGGGGGTGCAGTTCAGTGGCATGTTAGTAGGTCTGAGTTTGATCCCCATCACTGGGGGTGGAGCATAAAATTTGATATGATGAGGAACTTCAGTGAATTGAAAGACAAAATGATGCTAGAAAATAGAACCAGGTCTGTACTGAAGAAACGGGTACATAGAGATCACTAGATCCCATAAGTTCAAGGCTAACCCAACCAGCATACCACCTCTGCCTCAAAATGAAAGTGAAAAAACTTTATATAACGTTAGAAAATGGGAGCTAATCTCTTCCCATTGAAGGAAAATAAGAGTTTTTAAATCTTATTTAAAAATACTTATGAGGAAATATCTGGGATAAATGGGCCTAGAGGGAGCATGTTACAGTTGCCATATCAACCTGAAGGTGCTTAAATTGGTTAAACCATTGTCCAAGTCTCAGATTACTAACTGACTTTAAATGACTGTCATAAGCCAAATGTGCTGACGCACATCTGTACTCCTAGCCACTGGGAGGTAGGGGCCGGAGAATCAGGAGTTCAAGGTCATCTTTGACTACATAGAGGCCAGCTTGGGCTACATGAGGCACTATCTCAAAACAACAACAACAACAAAAGACAAAATGGGGGGTGAGGACCACCATATAACACTGCTTCAGAAATGTAATCCAGTCATATTGAGTTAAAATCTATTAGCCTTTTTTTTTTTGTAGCTGGCACAAATATTCACCAGTTTCATAACATTTCTTTAAGATCAACACTTCATTTTTATATTCCTGTATGTCAAACAAAGACTTACTGCTGAAAACAGCTACCTAACCAATTGTACTTTTCAAATTAAAACTCAGACATGCAACAAATATCAAAGACAGCAGTCAGGCTAGACCAGTGCAATTGTGTCAACACTTACTTCAGCAAATTGTGTTTCATTGCGCTGGGTGTCTCTGTAATTGTTTCTGGGAGCAGCTCCAGATGCAGATGCCTGCAGGACCACAATTAGCAGAAGAAACTTCATTGTGAACGTCCCCCTGCAGAGGAGCTCAGCTCACTCACTCTGTTCCCTCTCAGTACAAGTTCCCTTAAAGTTCTTCTTTATATAAGTCTTGAGCCAGGATCTGTGAAAAATCCTTTTGAAATCCTTTGAGTGACTCACAGTTGATATCATCTTTTGCTTTACTTTGTGAAACTATGTAAACTAAGAACAGGTCAACTATCATCTAACCCGTCACTCACGTAGGCTTTTTAAGTGCATTTCTTCAAAACTGCAATGTCTAGTTCCACATACTTTATAACATAAGCCCTGGTAAGACAAAGACAAAAATGATCCCATATACCTAATATATAAAGATAAATAGTTTTAGAAAGCTTAGAATTATCCATTTTATTATAACACTTTCTTTATATCCATTATAGATTAGCTATTTTAAGTAAATTTTTAAAAATATTTCATGAATAAAAAGTATTTTGCTAAAGTAGATGAATACTTTCCATGCTGAATCTAGCTCTAAGCACTGTGAAGTGGAGATTTCATATTTAACAAGGGAACGTTCATGACATTAGCATGCTTTGCCATGTGGAGCCTTAGATTCCTAGCTTGAGCTCTTCAGCCATTGTGCTGAAACCATCACAGTAGGACATTTGGAAAGATTCCAGGGGAAACTTTTCCTGTCTCCCAGATTGTCTAGAGTTGGCAGTATGAGGTTAGCCCTTTTCAACTGTGGATGGTAGGAAGACTTTGTCTCTGCAGTTTCTCTGCCTTGCTAACAACTCAGCTTTCTTCATCTTTGACCCAACTGTCCCTCTCCACATTTCTACTTCTCAAGCAACAGACTATATGAAGATTGAAAACATTTACAGGTCCAGGAATAAAACTCCCAAAGTAGAATTTCGGAATAGGGCTGCTGTGCAGGGAGAGGCTCTATAATACCCCTTCAAATCCCATAAGTAAGCTGCCTCCAATTCTCCATCAACAGTCTAGTGCACGGAGTGGAAGACACATAAGAATGTATTATAATCAAACATCCTTCTGCCCCACTTCCTGGCCTAGGACATGCTAGATACTTCCTAGCATTTTTAATTAAATTTTTAATTTTAAGGGCTAGCAAGATGACTTGACAGGTAAAGCCACTTACTGCCAAATCTGATGACCCGAATTTAATACACAGGCCCCAGATGATGAAAAAAAACTTACAGAAGTTGTCCTCTGACTTCCATACATGCACTGTGGCTTGTAAATACAACACACCCACACCCACCCACACCCATACATCCCAAATAAATAAGTAAATATTTTACAAATTAGCATACAGAACAATTAATCCCACCATGGCATCCTCATCGACAAGTGTTTTATGCCTCATTCTTGTTTGCGCCCTTTCCTAGTGTCTTCTGAGGCTGGAGCTCTCTTCTCGGATAGGTAGAAAAGAAGATCCCTCTGCACCATCCCTGGATCCTCTTCCTTTTTCAAGTTCTGCAGCTTGACCTCTAGGTGTTCCATTTGAAAAGAGGATTCTCTTCACCTCCTTATGCTGCGGTGATTCAATGAGACAATTATTCTACATGCTAGCTCCCAGGACAGCTGCTCCTGGATATCCACTCCTTTCCCTTTGACCTTAACGGAGGAATTGAATTGAATCAAACTGAATCAACTTGAATTGAATTTGAATTTGAATTGAATTGAATTGAACTGCATTGAATTTTCAAGCAGGTAAGACTCTAGGATTCATGAAGAGGAAGATCACATGGAAAAAATTGTAAGATAATCCTTTCAAAGATTGAATTTAGCTCAAGAATCATAAGGTCACAACCGAGTTGGGCTACAAAACAGAAAAAAATGGATTTGTTTAGAAGCATGAGAGGGGCTGGCTCTAGTCACTCTATCCTAGAGCTGAAAACTACCTAGAGGATAGTAAATGCTCAATAAACACATGACTGAATCTAGCTGAAGAGTATTAAGGACATAAGAAATAAACTTTCCTGGTGGGGCCATCAGAGCATGGAGGGTGTGTTCCTGATTCACTGAAAGCAAGACCTGTCTCATATGTATTAAGATGGAATTTGGTTCTTGGAAGATTTACAGGAAATGTCTTGTGTGTAGGATGTAAGATGGACCGAAATAACAAAGATACAAAGATGTGAAAAACTTCCTCACTAGAAGTAAAAATAGACTACACCACCCACACTTTGCTTCTCTCTGTGTCTCGACTCACCAAGTGTTCCAAATGGATCAAGGGTTAGGAGATAAAGTCATGTGGCAGCCACGGGACACTGCAGTGGTTGTAAGCCTAAGTCCTAGAATCAAATTGATCTGCTTTAGAGTCTTAATCTATCATTTTATGACCTTGAACTACCACTTTAATCTCTTTATGACTTAAGGTTTTCGTTTTTAAAGTTGGAATCATAATTGTTTCTACATCAAGAGTTGCTATAAACAGTGCAGGAAATAATAAGCAAAAGTACTCAGCCGGCTTCCTGACATAAGCTAAAGATTCAATAACTGCAGTCATCCTTTGAACTTTCTCACTGCACTCTTATGTAAGATGTTTCAAAGAAGCTGGTAATGAGGACAGAGGGAGATCGACCACCACCCAAATCTCTTTCCAGAAGGAGCTACTAGATTCTGACCCAGGTCCAGATTGGAAGTTGAGGAGACACTAAGAGAAGCGAGACTCAAGAGGTCATTGATAATCCTCAACATAAGAAGAACACATTTATGAAAACGCAGAAGAGAATCGAGCAAGCTCTTACGCAAGGAGCACGTGGTGCTGATCACGGTTTCTTAACCAGAAGGCATATTTTCCTTCACAAAGCTGAAAGCATCGGAGGCTCTGAGACATTGTTTCCATCCTTACAGACGCAAGGATGCTCCAGGGTGTATCAGTGACAACTGTAGTCATATGAGTGTCATTGCGCAGGAATCCGGAGAAGCATTTAAGTGTGATTACTAGCAAGGTTCAGGAACGAGTTATGTTCCCAAAACACAGGAAGAAATCTCTTAGCTGTCCCTTCATGTGCTAATAGATTGTTCACACAGGAGGAAAATTTGAGCACTTAACCTTCCCGCTTTATGACTGAAGAAATGGAAGTCTGGAAAGAGGAAGTGAATTGCTCCAGGAAGCATCCTGGAATCTGTTGACCTCTCCCGACTATTGCTACACCACACTTCTTTCTGTTTTAAAAAGACAGGGTCTTCCAGTAGCTCTGACTGGTCTGGAACTCGCTATGTAGACCAGGCTGACCTTGATCTCACAAAGGTCCCTCCTGCCTCTGCCTCCTGGGTGCTGGTCTTAAAGGTATGTGCTACCACACCTGGCCACACTTCTTTTACCATTTTGATTTTCCTTCATATTTCTGTCTCCTAGTGAGTTCTTACTTCCAAACACTACAAAAATGATGTCATGATACCTTCAAACTGTTCTATTAGATCTGTGTTGTGTTGGGAGTAACCAGTTAGTCCTGAGAATGTTGTAGGTATACCTGAGATCCCCATGGAGATAGCAGCACTGTGCTCTCTTACGTCCTGTGCCCGTCTGTGTACCTTGTGTCTTCTGTGTTGGCCACAGTGGTGCCCTGTGGCAAAGGTCACGTCTGCTGCTGGGGCTCACCAGGATGAGGGTTGGAGCACCTCCAAGAAGAAGCATAGTGTCTATAGGCACTCGGATCCGTTGTGGGAACTTAGACAACTCAGTTTTCAATTTCTTCCTTTCTTCATATGTTAAAAGCAGAGGGAATTAAGATTTTTGTAAAGGAGAAATTTCAATTACTCAGTTAAATTCAAATCAATCAAAAGCACCTAGCTCTGTGCCTATAGGTGATAGGGCCTCAATAAGTGTTCATTTTTTGCCTTCTCCATTACCTCCCTGTCCATTTATGTTGGTCATATGATTTGGGGATAGAACAGCTAATGTTTTCTGCAATGGACAAAAGTTCCTCAAAATAACAAGTTAAATATAATTGTTTAAAACCTTCATTAATAGAAGGCAGATTTTGAGAATGTGTATAAAAATAAGACGTTTGCCTAGTTCCTCCACACTTTTCTGTTTCAACCACAAGTACATCTACACACAACAAGGAAACCCCAACCTATGGGAAACAGCAGGTATTGATGGTAGAGATGGCTCTAGAGCCCTCCTGAGGGAATGAACTAGAACATGACCTTATGCGGAAAGGCTATCAGACTTCCCTTTGTAAGACAAAGAATGTCAGAGTAACTGGCATTTTGAAGGCACACTTTACTGCCTGCTCATCTCAAAGTTGTATCTGAATGTTCTCTAAATTGAAGACCATCTTCCCAAGTAGGAAGTTTCAGGGTGTTGGCAAAAAATCTGGAATGTGTGGAGTCTGGGAATGAGAATATCATGCTGATTATAGCCCAGAAAAGGAAAAAGGAGGGAAGAAAGAGGAAGACTTAGAGAGTAGGGTTCCTTCCTCTCCCCTAACAAATAGGTATTTTATGAACAAATATAAACGAAGATTAAAAAATATAGCAGGAAGCAGCGAGGTCCTACGTGTACATCCTAAGGTAGATGACGTGATTACACATATGTATGTGTTGTTGGAGAGAGATGTTTTGCTCCCCATTCTGAACAGAGGATGTAACTCAGTAGGAGAGTGTGCATCTTGCATGCACACAACCTTGCATTCCCCTCATACCATAAAGAAAGAGAACCAATACATCTTTCCTTGGTTTTGTTCCCCAATACCAAGTTAAATACCTGAGAGTAGTGGTCATGACTCAAATGAGTGATTTGATGTTGACTTTGAAGTCAGGTTTAATGGAAAGAGCAAGGCTTTGAAAACAGACTTGGCCATAAGCCTCAGCTGTTACCTGCAAGGTGTGTGGTTTCTCTTGAGTTATTTAAGGCCCATTTCCTTGTCCATGAATGACTGTTGTAAGGATTAAATGAGAGACTAAGAGAAACTGCCCAGTGTTGTGTCTGACCCATTTCTAGCCTTCCTGTAAAGTGTTCGCCTTCCTCTCGTTACACCTAGAGCAATGCTTCTTGACATTTTTTTCATGACCACTTCTCATAAATGGGCATTT